TTAATATACATTAAAAATACATTTACTTACAGTAAATATGCCCCTGGGTACATTTTTTTGGTCCTAGGACTGTTTTTTTAAGAAGTACATACCCAAAGTTGAGTAAAAAAAAACTTTAAAAAGTGAATTTTGCATAAAAGGTCCCCTTTAAAATGCTTTTAGGATTATATTTCAGACACTTCATTCAAATGAAACATTGATAAGGAATTAATTCATTATATTTAGACAAAATACATTTTTGCACGTTTAAATCAAAACACTATCTGCCGATTTCTCCATATTCCACTTTTGGACTTAATCCTCGTTCTGATGTGATGGGTCACATATGATATCCCATCATATCGATCAGACATGTGAATTTAATTGCATCATATCGTGACAGACTCTGTAAATATCGTATCGTCATGCAAACAAATCGATATAACATGGTATGGTGATAAATCTGGTGATTAACAGTATTTAGTATTCCAGGATATAAATCCTCCCAGCAGCCTCCAGGAGGCTGAGCAGTCTGGATTACCTGGTGCTTCCTGGTAAACTGCTACATGAAGATATGGAGGACTCGGAGGCGCAGCGTCTGCGTGGCTCCACGGGTCGACTGGTTCTGCTGCTTCGCTCCAGCTCCTTCTCCTCCCCCATGTCCAGGAAGCCTCTGGACAGTCCTGGGAGGAGACACAACCGGTTTCAAAAGCCCAACTCTGGAATCTAAAAGCAAAGCTGCTCAGAGACGTGTGGCTGACGAGTGCGTACCTGTGTCGAGTCGTTTCACAGGAGACTCTCCCTCCTCCTCAAGCTCCGCCTCTCCTCCCTCCTCCTCCCTGCCATCGCTGTGCTTCCTCTTCTTGTGCAGCAGGGTCTCCAGCCGGGGGATGACCACCGACAGGATGGACTTGGAGCCCAGCTGYGCGCCGTCTTCGTCGTCGTCTCCTCCGTCCCCGCCCGGCTTCCCGTTGACCCCGTCCGACTCCTCGCCGTYCCCGCCGACCTTCGACTTGCAGAAGAGGACGGCGGCGCGGCGGTTGAGGGCGGGGTCGGCCGGCGCGGACGTGGACACTGCCCCCGCGTCTCTGTCCGACACGGCGCTCTGGAGGACGTGGCCGTTGAGGCGCGGCGCCGACGAGACCAGCTCGGGGATTTCGCCGTCCAACTTTAATCTCGTGCTTTGGGTTTCGCAGTTCAGGGGGGCGTCGATGGGTTTGAGGGTGGGGGGCTCGGAGTCCGAGTCCGAGCGGATCAGTGGGGGCAGGGCGTCTGACGGCTCCAGTTTAGGAGGAAGMGACTTGTCTCCTGTGCAGGCCGACAAAATAAAAGCACAGAGCTGTCAGAGCTGCTGCCATTAAGATTTATTTAACAAGAAACCAATCAGCCAGAACATTATGACCACCTGAGGCTCTAAATGGAGTTAAGAAGACTATTATTGTTTCGATTTATTTATTTTTGAAAAAGGGGCAGATATCAATAATAATTTTTTTCTTCTTTCTGCTACCTTTCATTTTATTTGTTGTATTATTATTTGTTGTATGTATAGCATTTGTTTTGTTTTTGATTTATTGATTTAACAGGAAAAGATTACTAGAAATCAAGCCTGACTCAGCATAATTACTGTTTTACAGCAGGTTCCTGTTCTGCAGCACATAAAACACTCAGAAATACAGCATCACAATCACATTATTGTACACTATAAACACAAAGACAAACAAGCACACCAATGAAATGAATAAATTTTTAAATAAATACAATTAAAAAATAAACAAATGATGCAAGCGGGTTATTCTCTAAAACTGAAGCCAACAGTAGTTCTCTAAAGATTCAGTGTCAGAGACTGATGTGAGAATCAGAACCATCTTCACTGATYAGTAAAAAACATTAAATTTAAAGCGTAGTTCATTGGTTTGGAACAAAAACTTCACAAAATGTTTCTTGCATCAGTAAGTTTCGAGTCTTTCTTCACAGAGAAATGATCAGGGGTTTTTTCACAGCTTCATGATTTTTTTAACTCCAAAGCTTTTTCCTGAACATAAATAAAACACTTGTCATAAAACGTTTCCTCCTCTGCCGTTCTGCAGAGCTCAGACACATTCTAAACAGATGTGTGTTTAATCTCTAATATTTCACTGAGTCTAATCTTAAATAACTCTTCCTTAACTACAGGGACTGAAACGAGGCTGCTGCCTGACCTGTGAGTCAGGATATTTAGGGCGTGTAATTCTCACAGTAACAGCTACTTTATATATTACAGGAAAACTGTGGTGTTTGTGTACATGTACTACGATTTTCTTTTATGAAAGAGTGAAGAACTCCAAGTCAAAGTGAACAGGTCTGAATCAGTAAACAAGCTTGTTGTCAAGTTCATAAAATTTGACCTTTTATGAATATTTTTTGAGATTTTTGTTGCAGCGTTCGGCTACAAACAGAACTGAGTTTGGAACCAGGAAACTGCGAGTTTACATCAAAGCTGTAGCTCAGAGGTCAGATGTATAAAGCTTGCGTACGCCACTTTTTACGCAAAGGTTCTGATTTATAAAACCCAAAGCTGGCGTGAAAATGTGCGGTCCCTCATAGCTCTGATTCGTGTGTACGCTCGTTTTGGAGAAGTGAAGCTGACGACACAGATGGTGAAGTGAGGAATTATAGCAATATACCGTATTTTTCAGACGATAAGCCGCAACTTTTTTCCTGAACTTTGAACCATGCGGCTTATAGTCCGAGTGCGGCTTATATGTTGATGTTCGCACGTTTTTTTAAAAAAGGTGGGGGGTGCGGCTTATAGTCCAGTGCGGCTTATATGTTGATGTTCGCACGTTTTTTTAAAAAAGGTGGGGGGTGCGGCTTATAGTCCAGTGCGGCTTATATGTTGATGTTCGCACGTTTTTTTAAAAAAAATGGCAGGTGCGGCTTATAGTCCGGTGTGGCTTACAGTCCGAAAAATACGTTAATCAAACTTATTTAGATCAAGCTTTCTTAACAGTATTATTTATGATTCTACTGATGTTCCATAAGGACCTTTTAAATAAAAAAGACCTTCTAAGCCAAGTTAAATCTTAAATAAAAGTTTATGGTTCTCATCCATCTCCCTTCCTCCTCCTCAGACGACCAATCTCTTGTTGACATTGTTCAGCTGACTCGTTTAATCTCACTCRTGAGGTGCTTTGCATTGAGTGTTTATGGTTAAGAGTGGGTGTGTAGAGGGCAGAACCTGAGGCGGGATCTTGTGCGCAAAACCTGAGGTGCAGCTGTGATCTGTACAGGAAAATTGCTTGAAGGTGTGCAAGKTTTTGTAAATCTGATTGTTTTATTTTATTTTATTTTTTATGCACACTATTTTCGCCTTTTGGCCGTACGCCCTCTTTTAGATGAATTCTACACAATCCTTTATAAACCAGACCAAAGATCTTAAGATTGGCTAAATGAAAAGATTCTAAACAATATCTTACCTGCTGTAGATAGCTAATTTAACAACTTTGACTGAAAGAAATTGAGATTTATTTTTTCTGACAAGTTAGTCAGCTAGTCAAGCTAGTCAGAACAAAACGAGTCCAATATTTTACAAACCTTACTATTGTCCATTTTACACTTTATGTACAGAGATTTTTGCAATATGAAATCATTAAAAGTTGAGAAAGCAGTGTCTGCATGAATCATAAAATATATGACTATAATTTAGTAACACTTCTGGCTCCACTYGGTTTAGCCGTTAGCTTGTCAATCCATTCTAAATAGGGTTGGGCAATATTGGCAAAAAAATTAATCACGATTAATTGAGGTATTTAGCCGATAATGATTAATTTGACGATTAATCCCCTGGAGTCCCTGGACACCCTTATGTCCTAGTCACATGACCAATTTGGGAAAGATTTGCTCTTCATACAGTTCTGTTCCAAACTGTGTCAAAATTACAGACTTCAGGATATACAGTACATCAAACTGTAAATTGTGTTGAAAGATAAATAAATTACAGAACCTTTTTTATGTTCATCGTATTTGAAGCAGAGAGGAGCACCGAGTGGACTGACTGGTGACATTAATCGTATTGTCAAGTGGCAAAAAGTAATCGATTAATGTTTTTCTGATGATTAATTGCACACGATACGATTATGCCCAACCCTAATTCTAAATTAAACTACGTTTCTCCAAATTAAAGTTCTTTAAGGAGTTATCTACAACAGGTAAGATATTGTTTATAAGCATTCCCCTTCAAACATATGAAATCCACACAAACAAACTCATCTGTCTTTGATCTGTAACATCATAAACGTAACCTATTAAGTCTATTTTTGCTTTTTTACAATAAATGAAGTTTCCAAACATTTTGAAAGCAACACTAATCCTTGACAGTAACTTTAAGTTACTCTTCTCTCTGTAAGAACCTGATCACTTCAGCTCATTAAGATCCTAAAAGCTTCCATCCATACATACCTTCATCATCTGGAAAATGTCCCTTGGCCTTSAGTCTCTCTTCGTTGGGTTGCTCCGTCTCCGGCACAGAGAAATCCGATGAAGATGATGAAGATGAAGCTGGTGTTGATGCAGAGGTAGAACAGTGAAAGGTAGAGGGCAGCAGTTTCTTAAGGCTTATTTCGCTTCGCACGTCRTTGATGGTCTTCTTCAGCAGCTTGATGCGTTTGCTGCGGGAGGGACTGGACTTCATGGAGCAGGTCAGGTCGAACTTCTCCAGGAGCTGCTGCAGCTGCAAGTCCAGAGGAAGATGCTCCCGATTGGCCGGTTTGAGTAAGCGGTCCACTGGCGACAGGAACGGAACAGGAAGTCAGTGAGACGAGCTGTGAAAATTAATTATTTACTTTAATGAGTTTTAAGCTGCTGCTCTCATACCGTCTTCCCACGAAAACGATGCTGCTGCTTTCATCTCAGGAGCTTCTGGCAAGTGCGTGCCGCTCTCCGTGTCGAAGCCGATCTTCTCGGCGTCTCGTCGGGCCTTTCTGAGCAGGACTCCGCCCTGGTCCCTGAGGCGAATGGCAGCGCGGTAAAAATAGGTGTCCTTCGAGTTGTACTTCAAGCAGTTCTCGATAATCAGGTTGAAGTCGGCCTCGAACTGGTCAAAGTTGTTGTAGCCCTGGGCGTCGATGCGCTGCCGCATGGTGGAGAAGTCCATCGGGCGTTTGATGTGGTCCAGGTAGTCCGGCACCTGCGGCAGGCRTCAGATAAAAGGTTTACAAAGTGTGAGAAAAGGTGAAATGTTTCCCTTTTATAGACGCAACTATAAACACTGGTAGTGTGCAAAAAAAAAAAAAAAAAAGTTACGCCCAACGTGGGGCTCGAACCCACGACCCTGAGATTAAGAGTCTCATGCTCTACCGACTGAGCTAGCCGGGCCTGAGGCGCCCTCTGCTCCTTCACTTSCACCAGCTGCCAGACAGCTCCTCAGGTGTCGCTCTGCTAACAGGAAACCACACTGCTCGACCCCGCGCAGGAGGCGGCCATTTGTAACCAGAAACATGCAGCTGTCTGAGGGCTCAGCTGTGTCGTGCTCCACTTCAAACAGATGTCAGAACACACGTTTTCCTCTTTTACTTGGTGGAATGTGTCATTCAGCATTTCCCACAAATACATGTACACTCATTGTTGTACAGAAGTCRGGTACAATCAAATAACTATAATCACAAAAACACTTCTTAGTCAATCAGAAAATCAGATAAAGACTCTTATAATGAGGAACATGATGATATTTAACAGATTAGGTCCAGTCAGAAGGTTAATCATGCAATGTGAATATTTACATCAAAATTATTTCAATAGTTTAAAAAAAAAGAATAAATATCTGTAACTACAGAAACTGCATTCCCTGTGAAAATACTGAAAAGCTGCTGAAAATGTTTAATAGCAAAACAGTTAAAGAGAGTTCATTTTTAAAAGCATAAAAAGCCATGGAAAAGTTTAACTTAGTGGTAAACAGTAGAAAAGAGCTGAAAAAGCAGAAAAAAAGCTAAAATTAGCTTAGCAGACACCAGTTGAAATTAGCACCCAGATGGTGAAAGGGGTGTCAACAAAGTCAAATCAGCAGAAAGAAGCATAAAAGTACAAAAAAGTGACAATTTGTTGTAAAATCGCTTAAAAAGCCAAAATGTTTAGTAAAACAGCTAAAATGTAGCTGTAATTTTTTTTAATTAGCATAAGAAAGCAAAAAGAGCACAAGTGTGTAAACTAAGTTGAACGCAAATGAAATAGTCAACAAAATATAAAAGCTAACAAGCTAATAACAGCTGAACATTAGCTAAAACTGCAACAAATAGCTGAACATAGCAGAAAATAACTAAGAAGCAGAAATAGCTCAAGTTAGCAGAAAAAAGTAGAAAATAGCAGAAGAATAGCAGAATCAGAATTATAGCTGAAATAGCAAAAAAAAGGCACTAAAATTAGCACAAGGAAGTTAAAAAGAGCAGAACCAGAATAAAGTGCTGTAAAGATGTAGAAACATTTAAAGATTTTAAAGATGCTGAAAACAGCTCCATTCATTTCAATGGGAAACATGGATAAAAAAGTGAAATTGCTAAAAAAGTATAAATAGCTGAAATACCAAAAGTCATATTAGACACATTGGGCCTCATGCAAGAACCGTTCGTACGCAC